CATCCGACATTTTTGCAAAGGAAATTGTTGTTCAGAATCGTCTCAGCTACTCCCCATTTCCGGCTCCTCCCCGACTTTTGGGACACCCTGTATATTTATTGAATTATATATGTACCATTTTGTTCCACAATTTTTCCACTTTTTAAGGAATGTCCACATGTTATTTGTTTTCAACCATTCCAATATATTCAGACCTGCACCGCCTACTAAAATTCGCCATGAACTTTCCAGACAACCCAATACAATGTTAAAAACCATTAAATTTTGCATTTAAAATTTGTTCAGTATCACTTATGGTATCAGTGAAATCAGCAAAAATATAAATAACCAGAATTATTTCGAAGGGGAGGTTCCAGCCTTGAAACCATTTTTGAGTAAAAATGAAAAAGGGCACGTATTTAGGTTCCCAACTAAGTACAAACTCATTAATTATGAACGTAATTAGGAACTTTATTTCTGCAAAAATATGAATTTTTCGGAGTGTATTAATTGCCAAACTTCCATTATGAGTGATATTATATTGTACGCCGTCATTATATTGTACACGGTTGCTGAAGTTATCGACCCTTGTCGTGCACTCTCAGGGAAATAATAAGTAGGGTGTCTCATGGCAACACAGTCGTAAGGGCCGCACCCTTCGCATTGCATGTGCAATTTCTTCTTAAAAAAGGTGCTTTACAGTTAAAACGCTGCGAACGTTTGCCTATTTTAATCTGAAACATATGGAGAGAAAAATAAGCGAAACGTTCTAAGTAAATGGTTTATGGAAACCACAGTGTTTAAATATTATCTTTTGTCTTTGCAAAACAAGTTTTCATCGAAACGATCGATTGTTCCATTTTAATTCAACTTTTTGCTGGACTTTTCGCGAAGAAACTGAGAAAATTAATTCTGAAGATGTCTAAAAATTAATTCTAAATTCCAGCTTTGAGAAAAGTAAAGTTGTATAGGATTCATAAATTCTGAAGAGATCACAAAAATTTAATGTGACAGGATTTTTCATCAAAGAACTAAGAAAATCAATTCTAAATTCCGACGTTAAAGAAAATTAATCTGAATAGAATTCATGAATTGTTAAGAGGTTGCACGAATAACTTCTACTACGATTGTGAAATTACGTATGTTTCAATTGCGTTGAAACATAGTTTCAGGCTTACAGAAATTTTCACCAATATTACTATACAAGTCAACGTATAACCTAGTCTGAAAGAGAGAAGAATCTAAGTTGCTCCCAATAGAGATATCAAAGACTGCCTACGTGTATTGTTTCTGCCCTATAGACTTATAATTTCATAGCAAGAATTGTCTAAAAGTATGCTACCCTCGAGCAAAGATCATAAATATGCATAGCCACTTCCTTCGAATGCCACGTAATATTAGGTATGCCCGGTCTTAAAAGGAAAGAGCAAAACGCAGTCGGTAATGGCGTGAGCCATTTGCATAAATCATGCGGTGCTTTTATTTATTTCATAAGCGAACCATCGGGTCTTATTTGCTACGTTGGCACTGTTATAGTACGATTTATAGTACGAACAAATCAGTGAACAAAGGAGCTGCCTTTTGAACGAAAGATAACCAGGTTTAAAATGGCTAGAGATAATTCATTTTCAATTTCCTTTTCATTTTTTCTTATCTACGTACATATCAGATGTAGAAAATAATTCTGATCCTTTCTGAAATTAACTTAGCAATCGTTTATAAAGAAAAACCATAGAAATTCTAATATTTCCTCGGCTACTCAAATTGTAACTAACTGTTTCTATTTAAACTACTATCATAAATGATTGATGATTAGTTCTACCGTACTTTCATTTAAGGAAACCCCTCATTTATAAATTATTTTGTGACAAAAAAATAATTATTAGTAGTATCGACGGAATTATACGCGAGATAGTCTCATTTAACAATTTCGTGTAACTATTATGAATTAAATGTTACTGAATATTTGCATGTTCATAAAAAAGTAATGGTAATAAAAAATTTCCAGAAATTTCGTTATTCATTTTATCATATTAATTTAAAATAAATTACATATTTTTAATTCATGTTTACGGTTTAAAAATGCTTCGTTATTAATACTCATACCGCAAGAATAATAGAAGTTTAAGTCAAGTCAAGTTAGCCAAGTAAATTTGTAACCCAATGGAATGTTGATAATTAATCGATAGAAAGAGCAAACATTAGAGGTGAACGATAGAGACTTTCAGCTGTCAGCTGTCAAATCTACCACCGGCACACATTACTCGCAATATCCGTGTCAAGATCAAATGTTTAAACGATCGCGTGCACGTTCAAAGGTTACGACGTTCGATTGCAACAATTTGCTGTAGACAGCAGGTTGTAATTACGAAGGAAAATGTTACGCGTAACCTTCCTTGTTCTAGCCGAGGGATTCATTAAGAGTAATCCGTATTATACTACGTAATCCACGCTCGAGTCTCCACGCAGTAGAATGATTTCTTATTTAAACTTGAAAGTTAAACCATAAAATAGAAATTGTGTAACAAAGCGTATAATAAAATAAAATCTTTGCAGACGTACCTACAAAAATTTAATCTAAATAGGAATTTATTTTACTCCGCAAATATTATAATATAAGCTTTACTTTCGATATTTTGTTTTTTCATTCTTCCATACTGTGTGCAATAGTTTTACTCGGATTCGAATTTCCTATGAAAGCATAAAAATCTACTGATTTGTTTTAAATTAAATTTTCCTTTTAAGTGAAACAAAAATATTGCAACTTATTAAGTGCTTAAGTGAACATTCTAGCTATCGACAGAGAGAAGAAAAATAATAAACGTTTCCAAACATTTGGTCTTCATAAAGAATCTGTGAGGAATACATATACTAGTAATTTATTAATGATAAATATATATACAATTTTGACTATCAAAAATATCTAGTAGCAAATATGCAACGTTGAAAGTCCAAAAAAATATACTTTCTTTCAAATAATATCGTTAATTACACTCGCAGAGTAAAGAAGAAATTTAATTTCGCTCTGATCATGAATAATATGTTTAAATTGAACAATACGTTGTCAAAATATCAACAAATGCAGAACTAACGAACGTGGCTAAAAGATAAAATTTTCTTTAATCGGAGCACACGTATTTTCAAAAGCTTTATCACTCTCCCGTAAATTCCGAAGATAAAATGTCGTTCACATAAGTTCATAATTTGTGCATATGCCAATCTTATTTGATAAAAATTGTATTGGTAACAGCATACACAGTTCAGCTCTGCCTTTGTACCACAAATATAAACTTATCATCAATTTAAACTGTATATAGTATATTTTTTTCATTCAGCATTTCATTTCATATTGCACACAATCACCGTCACAATAAATACCCATCAACTTTCTTCATTAAAAGAAGAACATTCGCGAAGCTTCGCGAACGGTGTCGTGTTTCCACGTATGTACATATGCGCAGACTCGAGGCTGCTTCGATCAAAGCGTTCATCCCATCCAACGTAATGGAACGAATTCAACAGTTTCTGTCGATACAAACATACACGAACATGTTTAGAGCACCGATAGGTTCTTTGTTGAAAACCGGTTCATTATTATCGAACATAGACGAGATTATCGCGTATGACCGTGTTACGCCACGCGGATTGCTCGAAGGTTCAAGAGTCACTACGAAACACGATAAAGTTTCTTATCAAGCGTGAGTCTTATTAGAGGGAGAATTATGTTCATACTTTTATAACGCGCAACACTGAATTTTTATTCAATCTGTTTTAGAAAAGTCAATGTCGGTGGTCGTGAACCAACTCTGGGGATAAAGTTAGTTATTAGACTGCGGATTTTATGCATTGGTGTCCATTAACGTGGAAAAAGATCGAAAAAATTAAACGTAACGCGTGTAAAATATATTCTTTCAATTATGTTTTTGTTTTGCATAAGTGCATATACTTTTTTGTTTTGTTTAGCATATGTTTTCATATTTCCTTGTACCATAAATGCATATAACATGCAGTTTATTGATTACAGAAAAATTCTACTTTGGTAGTTGTCCGCGTATAGTCTGATTTATTAATCTGCAACGAAGAATTGTTTTGCATAAAATAAACTAAACCTCTACTTGACGTTAGCTTAAAACGTCCACCAATCCTGCGACGATGCTTCCTTTGCATCATATTGTTGAAAAATTAAAGTATAAAGAAGTGTTTCAAATTGTAGTGATGACCGCCGTACCACAATATCTGATACAACTTGAAAAATACACACAAAAATACTCAAAGAAGTTGAATCAGCTATCAGTTTCAGGTCGAAAAAATTGGAGTAAGTAGAGAAATTTTTGGAGTAAACAACGCTACATATTAAATCGCAACTTTTCGTTCTAATTACTGCTGTAATTTACTTTAACACTAAATCAGCTCTTAACAATTTTAATAATGCTGTATCGAAAAGGTCAACGTAATCGGTAGACACGACTGCGGCAAAATCGTTAATTGGTAACGAGGAATACAGACTATTATTCCATACGAGTCATTATCTGAACTGGGCAAAATTTAACAATTCCAAAATTGGGGCTTCGAAGAAATAAAACAGGTCCTCTTAAAATATAAACCTTCGCAAGCGTATCTCGAGTCGATACAAGTGCCTTTCGTGCTTGGAAATGTAATATCTGAATATAGTTCAGAATTTTTTGCCGCAAAGAGTGAAATATATTTAAATATATTTAAAATCCTCATATTTAAAGATCTACGTACATTTTTATTTTGAAAAAGTATCGTATAAGGAGGCTCTCGAATGTTTTTATGTATTTCACCGAGTATATTCGCAATTTCAAAAGGAAATGGCAGAGGATACCCGGTTATTGACGCAAGGGGTACTCGATGCAGGACATGTATGTACAATGCGTTGCGTGTGCTCAAGGATTCCGCACAGCTGCAGTGAGAATTCGATTCAGAAGCCTTGTCGATGAGTCAACGCTTAGGACTGTCAAAGTCGTCCACGTGGAAATAGACGCGACCTGAGCGTCGCTGGTCATGTAACCATAAAGTCAAAGAACCTTTCACGGGCATTATTCAAAACTAATTAAAACGAAATCGAAAGAGATGGACGTGTCGGCCAAAGATGGCCAAAATTCTTGTTCTATTGTGATATAGTTACGAATGTTCGAATAACGAATAAAAGGTAAATAATTTGTTATACGTTGCAGGTTAATAGAGCACCCGGGATTATTATCAAGATCTGGTTTATTAATTATGTGAATTAGATTCGTACAGTATGTTCGTTAACGTAATAATTTCGACAAGAAGTTTTAATTTAATATGTAGTGTTTTGCTCCAAAAATTTCTCTACGTACGCCATTTTTCAACCTGAAACTGATAGTCAATTCAACTTCTTTAAGAGTGACAGTATATACACGAAGATCGTTTCTCAAGTTATTTCAGATATTGTGACACGGAGGTAATAACTAAAATTTTGACCAGTCATTTATATATGAATTTTTCAACAATAAAAACTTCAATTTGAATTATAGAATGAAATTAGATTAGCAAACTTTTTCTACCTTTATTCTAGAAACGTAGTTTCAAATTTATTCCATAAGATTTATACTGCTACGCTTGTTCGATTCAATTTATTGTACTGAATTTAGTTTATTACATTTATTGTAGGAAATTTTATTGTATTAGGTATTTACTAATTAGTGTTTGCACGACAACAGAGAAATTTTTGTTACTTTCGTAAAAAGGGCCATTGTAATGTTTACAAAATTTACTTACAAGGAAAGTAATCCTCGAAAAATATTTCTCTCGAAAAAAATATATTCGACAGCAATTCTATGTCTCATCGAGGTGTACAACTTTTGTATAAAATATTTGTTTAAAGGGTCATTTTTTTCAAACCATATTTCTTCTTTTCTTAAGAAATTTTTTTCTCATAAATGACAGACTATACTCCTACGTGTTATTAAACGAAATATGCTTCATTTTGATCGAGGAACTGAAAAATAATTATTATAGACAATTTTAGTTTTTGGCAAAAAT